AGTAGGTGCAATGGAACGACTGGACCGCACCAGGGCTTCGCAAGGCTGGAGTGGTTGGAAAAGACGGGGTGGAGAAACGGAGAAAATGGGAGGAAATTTCAGACGACACTGTGTACAAATGTGACATAGAGACCATAATCAACGGCCATGTTTATCAAATGACATTCTTATGGTGATTCAATCCTTAAATCAGCACTCTTGCTTCGTGGATTTGGTTGCGGTCTCATGTGGATCATTGACCTCAGTAAAATTCCTACATCATGAAGACTATGGCGCTCGGCTTGTCACCATCTATCATAAGGGGAAAGGCCAAGACGCTATTCAACTGCGTCTAAGAAGATACATCGTGTGCTGAGTGAAATGAAACCTTTTTAAAGAACATCAAAAGTCAACAGGAGCGTGATCTTCAGACGGGACTGACTTGGACAAATCGTTCACAGGCTCCGATCAGTTCCATCTGGGTCATTGGATCCTCTGGATTCGCGCGAGACTCACGAATACTGATCACTGTGCGTGGGATCATTCCGTTCACGGCTTTCGCATCGGACATCATCTGGGGGAGGGGGCAAAAACAAGATTGAGAAGCGATGCAGAGCAGTCAGTTGCGGGAAAACGATCGAAATCTAGACAATCGAAAACGATAACTCAGTTCACAAACTGACCACCTATAGTTACATTATCGGCAAAACAATCCCAATTCTGTGGGAATGAAGCTGTGTCGTATTTCATATCAAACTGCAGATCAGAAAAAAACAATCCTAAATTTTGTTAACCAAGGGTGACAAGCACAGACGAAGCAGACAGTGCAACTTAAGATGACACGAACACAGAAATAAAATTTTCAGTTACCATAATTAGCAAACACCTGTAGATATCTATAAGGACGGAAAGAAAGCCAAACAAAACAAACTTCGAATACAGTGGTTACTGAGATTGACTGAAGAAAGAAAGCGGGTGTGTCAGGCCAAAGAGGTTAGTTAGTTGAGGGTATAAGCGGCGACAGAGTTTTGTGAAATGTTGAAATATGACTATATTCCGTCCTTTGGACTGAGTTGCACATTTGTTCCGATCCAGCTGTGAGGTCGACATTAGCCTGAATTACGCATTCGGCTTAATCAATCTTCTCGCTATCCAGTTAATTCAAGCGACACGTTTGATAGCTTGAGATTTATTGGGTAATCATAAAGGTACACTACAGAGAAAATCATACCAAGGACATAATTCCTGTTTGGATGGGGATAATCTGTTTTGGATGAGAGCGGCGAATACGTACTGTAGAGTCGACATGTGTCAACCAGTTCAGACAGCATCGTGATGAGAAATGAGACACACAAACTAGTCAGTTACCCTCGTTTGCTTTCTTTTAATGTATCCAATGTCTCGCATTTTCCTGTTTCAGCGCAATGGTTCCTACTGCTTAATTTGACTGGGATGGTCAGTGCTCATATACGGCTTATTATGATGGTGGGATGTATAAATGATTTCATTGTCCCGGACTCGTTTCAAAATATCTTCAGTTGATCAGCGTTCACAACCTACTCACTGCCGTTCACAATGAAATGAGAGGGCAGAAATCCGATCTTCGGGGGCAACAACGATGTTGGTAAGTCATAGGCAGATAGCTGGTCTGGAGTTGTCAAATCCTGCTTCCGAATAATCTAAAATGGGGCGAATGATTAGCCTCCGGGACCACTGGGTATAAATTCATCTGCCCAATCCGGCAATAGAACGTGTTGACCTCCGTCCCCTCTCCCGCTTGGACATGAGAATGATGGCATACCAGCTACCAGTGAACTGCGGACTCGGAATCAGGTGAGCTATACTCATCTGTCCGAAGCTTGGAATGAGATTTCTTGTGTCAACATCAAATTGAATAGTAGTACATCAGCCCCCAGTGCATTGTGGTTTTCGCACACCGCCTCACTGCCTTGTAGGTCAGGCTTTAACTAGAACAAGTTTTCGGCTGTGAATTATACACGAAAGTTCACCTAATTTGATCTGGANGAAGTATCCCGTCCAAGAGCAAATAATGGGCCTTTTTCTTCGTTATAAAGATCCTTGTATCGTAATTTGTCTGACGCACAGTCTAAACTCAGACGCATGTGGAATATATAGTAAAACGACCCATTAGGATGATATGGTCATGGAGAAAATACAAATTTTGCATCATCATCATCATCATCCACTTTCATTCGTCCCAGTTTCTAAAACACACAGTATTCGTACACTATATGTTTAGGGTGCGTGCTGTTACATAACAATATAGAATATTGCCATCGGGGATGAAATCGTGTTTGCGTATCACCAATTCTCGTACCTATCGTCTTTTGTACGGTAACGTAAACATATTATCAGAAGTGTGCGTTGACCGTTGTTGTCCAATCCATGGGTTCATGTGTACAAAGACTGCGCACCGAGGTTCTCAAATTCGATTTCCCACTACTCAGCTCATTCACTCACAGCGGAATCAGATACCGATATCGAATCGTTCTTCATACTGTCATCGCACGAACTGCTCTATCGACCATTGAGAGACACAATACAGGTCATTTCGTTTTGTCAAGTGTTGTGCTACACATGTTGGAAACAACCACAATATGACAGACGTGAATGGCGGAGAGCGGTGGGGAAGGGCACACTACCTGTACGGGTGGTGCATTTGATTTTTGCACGGTCCAGACACGTATGATCGATTACCGGTCATCAGGGTTGAGTTTCCACAATTCATGCGTTCTAACATTCTCGACTAATTTCGTTCATATTATTTATACGCCCAAGACAAAGGTGGGGTCGGTTACTCGTGCACCAAACACCACACTTCTGTTGCCATCACTACCCTTACAAACCGGAGCGGTCACGGACAGGACCAAATCCGTTCACTAGTCGAAACAGATCAGACCGGTAGTCACAAATCGATCGCCTAGTCATTTAACATAGACCTGAGTGCTAGTGGTGGTAGTAGAGAACACAGACAAATTTAATCATCTATATACATGAGATGTGTGGACGAAGAAGCTAGTGAGTGGAATAGACAGACAGACAAACAGGCGAGTACAACTACGGTAAAGCACAGAAATCGATCGATCGGCAGGCAAAGCAAAGCAAAACGCGAGAGCAAGCCTATCAACTATAGATCGTGAGTCATACGCGCGCCAAAACAACAATGAAAGAAAATGCGGGTGGATGAACCGTTTAGTATATTGTCTATACCTATTTTCTTCATTTTTTCACACTCGTTCACAAGTATGGCTGGATGAGAACTGAGTGTAACATTGTAGTGCACATGAGCGTGTGAGCAAAACGAGAGCGTGATCGCCACCAGAGGGTTTTAGTGTACGATCAGGGCCAGTCCGGTGGGATGAGAGATTGGGGTGGATATAACGAAAAGAAGCATCGAGCACGAGGTAAAGTGATGAATACACCTCAACAGTTCGTGGGAAAGATCGCAGCGTATGTCCATTCGCGCATTTGCCTAAGTGGGTGTGTGCAACCATAAGGAAGAATAAAGTAACAAGTAACCTCGGTACCCAGGAAAATCGTTGGATCACACACACACACACACGCACACACACACAGACACATACACACACACTTGTGTGTTTGCGTGTGTACGTATAAAAAACAAAAAGGGCGGGGAAAGAAACAAGTGGCTTTTAGGGACCCGGATTCCTCTCTCTCTCTCTCACACACACAGCTCCCCTCTCTATTGGTAAAGTTGATCATAGGGGGTGGAGCAGCAGGTCCGAACCGAAGTGGTTCCGTTCGAGATCATACGAGCCAGGAACAGAGGAACATATATGGTTCGAATGCAACGAACAGATCTGTACACATCCACACACACGTGCATACACACACACGCACGCACGCACACACACACACACACACACACACACACACCATGTTAATCCATGCGCAGATATGCCAACTGCGATGGGTAACTAGCTAGGTTTTTAGAAGCCGGTAGAGTTTGATTGTTCCATTACAAAATACGCCATACAGAGACTTGCCAGATTTATAATGTATTTTTGTCGGAAGGCATCTGTGTAGGAAACTAGCTTAAAAACAATGAATATCTTCATGTTTATTTAGTGTGCGAACCAATTATGCCACCGGGACCTATGGAACCGCAGAGATACGATACTTCACCACGCGAGCCATATTTTCACTGACTTGAAGCATCAAGTAACAGGATCTGACAGAAAAAAGCTTGCCACATTGAATGACCGTATTAAAGATGGTTATTGTGTAAAGTACAACGATACTACTATTACTACTACTACTACTAATAACAATCATAATGTTCATGGTATTACATGGTGAATTTCTTCGTGTACAGAGTAAACGAAGAGTGAACTGAAAAGCTAGGAAGAGGTGAACAGCTGTTTCCATCTGGTTGACCCTCATCAGCAATGCAAATTCATCCAATTAACTGAGGATGGAACCCAAGATCTCACAGGCAAACGGAAAGCACACTATCCACTTGACAACCGAGTGGCAGATCAGACCGTTCTTTTAAATATGTCTACACAATAATATTGTTGCGGACCATGGAAAAGTGGGAACAGTGCAGTCATACATATTGTAAGACAACCATGGGGTCGGGTAGTTACCTTTGAACGATGAAAAACGATTCGGTTGAGTCCAATTCATAGGGCACATATGTGATAGTTAAATAGGATACTTTGCATTGTCGTCTGTCGGCGAACCGATCGATTTTGGCAAAAACAGCTGTGAACTGCACAAGACTACGCAAGTGTTTCCCGTCTGTCACTCCGATCAAATCAGTCAATCTGTCAACATGCGTATTCGATTGTTGACGATCAAACGAGTATTTTTCCAAAACGATCAGCGACTCAAGCGAACTTTCTGACAGTCAAATAATGCCTCGGGTGCCAGTAATCAAATTAATTCTTCGATAATATGGAGCACTGCACTAGGGCCCAATCAATCCTATGAGTACTGCGCATTAAGAGGATAAAAAAGACGTGATGAACACATCTATAAAATGACCCTCAGTGAAAATTCTATTCGTATACTTTAAATCACGAAGTTCCTTTCGGAACCGGAGATATAGATTCGTTTTTTGGAGTCGAAAGAGTTGCGAGACAAGAATGTACCGGAACAGAACACCATGACTCACCTGATACGTGTTACCACGAGACCGTTTCCCGGCCACTTGGCTCACATTGACCAACTGAGTGGCTCCGGTCACGGTGGCCCGAGCTGCGGCTTGCAGACTACGAATCAATCGTGTGTGAAGTAATTCAGCTGCTGCCGAGTAGGCAATCACATTCAAGTTCTCGGCTGCTTCGCGTAATTCGTTCTGTAGGATAATATCGTCCGGATTAGCTGAGCAATTCTGTAAGAGATATATCGTGCGGGAGGTGGGGGTAAATGACACGGTTTTGTAAAATCAATAAACTTGGAACAGAAAAATAGATTAGTCAACATATGAACGGTAAAAGTCTGTGGACTAGATATCACCACACAAGGTCATTGTCTTATTCTTTTTCTCATGTTTATACACCCTTTCCTATTGCATATTAGATGAAGTTCTTTATCATCTGTTGCAGTTCATGTACCGCATTTGATGGTTGAGTCAGGCGTGCAATTTCAACTTTGAATTTTCCGTATGGTTGGCCCTCATCAGCTGAGGATGGAACCCAAGATCTCACAGGCAAAACGAAAGCACACTATCCACTTGACAACCGAGTGGCAGATCAGACCGTTCTTTTAAATATCTCTATACATTAGTATTGTCCGTTTTGACGGCGTGTAATGAACTCTGTCAAACCCGTGTGCTGTTATTCATTTCTATCCGATACAACCAATCACCTGGGCAGAGGGGTGGGGTAAAGAAAACGTGATTGCCGAGCGAAAGGAAACGATTAATGGTAGATTTGATCAAATCCCGGTAGTTGTAGAACAGAATGATTAGCTATTGAGCACGAGTACAATCTGTTCGACTGAGTATACAGTCGATTAAATGACAGATTATGATTGAATGATTCGACAACCTTGTGCCGTAAAAACAATACGCGTCAAGAATGTGTGGAAACGTTTAAAAAAACATTTATTACTATATTTCTCTTGTTGTTTTCATGCTTTTGGGCACTTGATCTGCATCTTTGTGGTTATAGAGCACATTTTATAGAATGTAAAATATCTGTGTTCCATCACAATTTTATGCCAGAAAACAAGAGAAATCTTAATGCTCTTAACTGATATGAAAGTTATCCTCTGAGGGAAATACAATGCAAATGAGGGTCGTAAGGTTTTACCAGGTCTTAAGGACATCACCATCATCATCATCATCGTACAGTGCGATACAGTGAAGCAAAATTCACTGATCGCTATCAAGCTCACAATGTACACAACTCATGTGATTAAGTACGAGATGGAGAGGGATTAGAGGGAAGCAAAGAAAGTGAATGGTACTGATGTCGGTCAGTTGCTATGTCTTTCAGTGCCTAAGGCCAGCCGGTCGCGGAGTTTTTGGACCCCAGCCTGCAAGGCGGAAGACACCCAATCTACCTAATAGCCCTTTGCATTTCTCCGTGCCTCGTTTCCACGTCATCTGTAGAGCTCCATGTGATTTCTTTGAAATTGGAGCCGCGACTGCGAATGAGACATGATGCGGTAAATTGATCTATTCGACAGGATCTAAGCATTGAATTTCCGGAT